TGTGTGTGTGTCTGTGTCTCTGTGTGTGTATGTGTGCATGTGTGTGTGATAAGATAAAAAACAAAAAGGAAACCATTATCAATTTAATGTGTTTGATTTTTACTAAAGCTTTATCAGAGGCTGAGAGAAAACAGACAGATTTTGGTAATTTCAATTTTGTTTGCATCGATTCTCATTGGTCAGTCATGTATCACATGCATTAGAATCAGAGATAATTCTATATGCATGTAAATTTGTACTTTTTTTTACAGAGTTCTATCTTTTTGTCTGTTTTCTCTCATTTTCTGATGAAGCTTTAATAAAGGTGAAACATGTTACATTGATAAATATTTCCTATTTGTTCTTTATCATATCATTCTGTCATATTCTGATCCATAGTGGATCTGCATTTGACCTTTAACTCATATATAAAACTCTCAGCTACTCCTGAACATTTTAAAGAAACACTACATTGACTTGCAGAAATCACTAATAAATCTGAAATTCAATACTGTTTGAACATTACAAAAAATTAATATATTATATAAAGGATCTATTTCTCTCCCAAATTATAAAGATTAATTTGTCAACATCTCTATGAGCAAACAGACCACCTTGGACCTAACTGTTATCTTTACAAACAATACATTAGATTGGATAAAAAAAACTGAAATTGAAATGTTATATCATAACATACAAAAACTTAAGAGCAACAACTAATCAAAACAAAACTAGGAATTTGTGATCAATGCAAAGCTGAAGCAATAAAAAGATAAACATGACAAAGGAAAAACTCTTCCAAGCCCCTAACAAAACAATTAAAAATCACTTCCAAGGATTTACATAACCATACTCATATAACTATAAAAACAACAGATAAAAGCAATATCTTTGTTGTATTAAATGAATCTGATTATAATTCAAAATTACAACAGATACTCTACAATCATACCAAATTTAGAAAAGTCAACATTAACCAACTGAAATTGAAAATCAATAAACTGATCATAGCCAACAATGCACAATAGGACAACTTAAAATTTACCAAAATAATTAGCGACTACAAACAAGGATACATGTATAGAACAATAAAAATACATAAACCTAACTTCCCAAATCTCCACTTTGGTTTATCAATTAACCAAAATCATTAGCCAACTTATTACACAATACATATCTAGTACATACAATATAAAATCAACTCATGAACTAACCCAAATCTTAAAAACAGAAAAACCTAATAATGAAACCATAGCCTCACTTGATATTGAAAGTTTATTTACCAATATCCCAGTTAGAGAAACGATTGGTATAATTATAAAGAATATTTACAAGAATCCATCTCTCCCACCACTAAAAACTAAACCTAGCATATTACAGAAACTGCTTTTGACTTGTACCACTGGGGTTCCCTTTTATGATCAAAATAATATCCATGTACAACATATTGGAGTTTCTATGGATTCAGTTCTGGGACCAACATTTAGTAATTTCTATATTACTAACCTTGAAAGTAACCTCAAATATGTAGATGATATTCTCATCTTAGTTAAAAACAAAGATGAAATACACAGACTGCAAAAAAACATTTTCTTAAATTCAAATATGAAATTAACAATAAAATTTCTTTTCTTGATGTATTGATAGACACAAATCAATAATAATAATATATTTACTACCACCCCATATAAAATACTAACTAGCATAAATTTGTGCAATCTCAACTATAAAAGTGAATGTCCTGACCATTAAAAAATAGTCATTATACAAAATTTAATAAACTCTTCCTTGAAAAAAAAAACTGCATTGAATTAAAACATATTGAACAAACTCTCATTAATAATGACTTTCCTAATTACATTGTGATGTAATGGAATAATCTGCCCCCCACCATGAGTGACTCCATTATAGGTAGTAACTACCAATAAGTATCTGTAAGTCAATAGACTACAGAGACTAGCTGCGACCTGTTCCAGCTAAACAGCCGAACTCACTGCCTTCGGGCAGAGAGGAACCCGGACAAGGCTCTGCCGAAGGGCAGAGTCTTGTTCGGGGAGGTAGACTGACCCTGGACCTGTTCATGCGGATTTAAAAAGGGAATATTTTGGGCTGAGCCTATGGGCTCAGAGATCTCACGTTAAACCAGCCTTGTGCCACATGCTACCCTTGTAGGGGGGGGTAGGTAAATATACTAGCTGTGATCTGTTCCAGCTAGACGGCCGAACTCTCTGCCTTTGGGCAGAGAGGAATCTGGGAGAGGCTCATTTATGCGGGTTCTACGGGGATTTTTTGGCTGAGCCTACAGACTCGGAAGACCCACGTAAAACTCGGCCTTGTGCCACATCTACCCTCTTTGGGGCTAGTAAATACCGACTAGCTGTGATCTGTTAAGTACAAGTTAGACTTACACAAGAACTACTGACCTTCCAATAGTATCACTCACTACTGGATTGACTTGTGACAACCTTGTTCATAACTGTTACCTTTATTTTTATTGTACTAGTTTTTACTATAAAACTTTACTTATTTTATCCACCATGTTTTTCAAGTATATATTCCTATTAGCACGGAATATAACACATTGCTGATGAACAAATTAGATGAGCTATTAGAAATATTAACATAAATAAAAAAAAATAATACTTTGTCAAATAACCTAAACATATCATTCTAATTAGAAACAAAAGAAAAAATCGTAAAAACTCATAGGCATTAATATATTCCCCACTGATCTTAGTAAAAAATAAAACTAATTATATACTATACTAAATTTAATACAACCAACTTAGCGATCCACAATAACTCTTCTCTATCAATTAGTGTTTTGCAAAAGACCAAAATTATATAGCAGTCTAAATGTCCTTTGGGAGATTGTATTTATGACAAAAAATTAAATACATATGTTGGCTTCACTACAACAACATTATCTAGACGACTTACACTCCATATGTTGGATACAAGTTCTATTGCACAACATCTAAAGAAACATTCCTGTCCCCCTTCACAATATTGAAAATTACTTATTGATAACACTATTATATTACACCTTGAAAATAAAAAAAACAAAACTTCAAATTCTTGAAACAATTATAAGGATCAAATGAACAACAATAAATGAGGTTACTTATGATTATAGCAACAATCTTTTAAAATGTTTATAAAAGCAATGTTTTTAAAAATGTTTAAAAAGGTTTTTGTACAAAAGATTACAATCATGCAGATTAAGCTACTTCTGTTAGATCAAAATGCTATATAGCTACAAAGGTTAATTTTAAAAACAATTATAACAGAGGATGCTTATGTGTGTTTACAAAAAAATCATATCTATCGCTTACATATTTTTGTCTTAGCAATTCATCCCTGAAGATGATCTCAGATGAGATTGAAAGTACTTGGGAAAATGAAAATAAAAGAAAATAAAAACTATGGTCCCTCCCGTAATGAATTTCAAATCAATTTTAAGAAGTCGATCAGAGAATTTGAGAGGATCAAAATGAAAATAAATAGCCATAATATGTCAAGATAATTCCACCAGTCATGCTTGAATGAAGATATGCTGCCTAAATATACACATGCATACACACACACACACACACACACATATATATATATATATATGTATATGGCCTGTTGATTGTGTTTAGCATGAAACTGTCTGTCACCTCTGAGTGTTGATTTCAATGTTCACTTTTATATTTACATATGCTCTATCTCTGATATTGAGCACCTTATCCCATAAATATAGCATACCTTAAAACTATATATATTTATATATATTTATTAAAGACATATTTTTATGTTTAACGTTGTTATTTTATAGATACAAGTATTTGCAAATGCTCTGTTTATGATAAACAGTATTAAATAACATTTACCACTGCCTGAATGTCGAGAAATTTTCATAGAAAATTTTCATAGGCATGTCAGCGTATATGACGGTTCCGTATAGGATGCAGGTTCGAAATCCTTGTCAAAGAAACGAAAATTTTCTATGAAAATTTCTCCGGACATTCAGGCGGTAAATGTTATTTAATACTGTTTATCATAAACAGAGCATTTGCTTAAATACTTGTATCTATAAAATAACAACGTTAAACATAAAAATATGTCTTTAATAAATAAATTGTCGGACCTTGTCCATTTCTTAATATATATATATATATATATATATATATATATGTATGTAATGATGATGGAGTCTCCTGCTAATTTTGACGTATCAGGATCTGACAACCTCATTCAGTTTTTATGCTAAATAATAGTCTAGCAGACTATTATTTTTTAAAGAACTGTTTTTTGCTCCGATTTCCTCATTTTGACCTTTGAGGTCAGATACAGGAAAACAAAGGAATGCTAGAGAGATAGAAAGTGATTTTGAGGAGTTATGTTTTGTACATTGAAGAATGCAGATGAGTTATATTTGTGTGTGGAACTTGCTCCACAGAGAGACGCCACTGGCTAGTTAAAAATCTACATGTCAACATGCTTAATAAAATATATAAATGTAAAATCCCTTTTCTTTCATCTGCGGACTCCAAAAACATTTTGACACCTGGACAGGAGAAGACGACCGAAAGAGAAGATACAACATTATGGAATTGACCCCATCAACTAAGAGATCCCAAGAACAAAGGGAGTATACAACATGAGAGAGAAAACTAGCTTTTGTCAGTTGCGACAATGGAAGTAACAGGCTTCTGCTGCTCTTGTATCATTGTATATTAAACTTTTATGATTCATAGTTGAGTCAAGTAACCTAACTGCTAGGCCACTACCAGAAGTCTTGAAGGAAAACATTCAGATAATGGAGAAAACAGCCAAATAAAAAAATTAAATAATATTCTGCCAAAGCATTGGATAAAAAAAAGAAAGTCTTTTGAAGAAGAGAAACCAAAAAAATAACCAAGAGGCAAAACTGGAACTGCCTCCCTGATGGCAGTAACAAGGCAGCTTAATTATAAAGTAAGGAAAGCTTTGAGGAGAGCAATATTTAAAACTGTTAGATCTTGGATTCACTCCAGTTGATCATATCCAATTTTCTTTTTCCCTTCCGCCATATTTCTTCCCCTATATTGGATCTCTCTCTTCTTTTCTAGCTGCTCAGCTCTCTCTTACTCCCTTTCAGTTTCTATCTTATTTTCAGCTTTTTCTCACCTACAACCTTTTTCTATATCTCATTTATTTATTTCTGTCTTTCTTTCTTACTTTCTTTCATTCTATTTTTTTTATTTCTTTCTGTTTATCTTTCTTTCTGTCTTTCTATCTTTCTTCATTTCTTTCTTTCTTCATTTCTTTCTTTCTTTCTTCATTTCTTTCTATCATTCTTTCTTTCTTTCTTAATTTCTTTCTTTTTGTCTTTCTATTGTTTTTTCCATCTTTTTTCACTTCTCCCTTTCCTTCTTCACTTCTTTCTTTCTTCATTTCTTTCTATCATTCTTTCTTTCTATCTTTCTTAATTTCTTTCTTTTTGTCTTTTTATTGTTTTTTCTATCTCTTTTCACTTCTTCCTTTCCTTCTTCACTTCTTTCTTTCTTCATTTCTTTCTATCATTCTTTCTTTCTTTCTTAATTTCTTTCTTTCTGTCTTTCTACTGTTCTTTCTATCTTTTTTCACTTCTTCCTTTCCTTCTTCACTTCTTTCTTTCTTCATTTCTTTCTTTCTTTCTTCATTTCTTTCTATCATTCTTTCTTTCTATCTTTCTTAATTTCTTTCTTTTTGTCTTTCTACTGTTCTTTCTATCTTTTTTCACTTCTTCCTTTCCTTCTTCACTTCTTTTCTTTATATCTTTCTTTCTTTCTTTCTATATAGTTTAGTGCTTTTTTAGATATTAAACATTTTTTGGGATGGACAATTGTTCTATGCTGTTACATGATTTTGCTGTTACACAGTAGTATATATATATATATATATATATATATATATATATATATATATATATATATTTCTTCCTATTTATTGTATATCTCTTTCCTTTTCTAGCTGCTCAGCTTTTTTATTCTCTTTCAGTTTCTATCTTGTTTTCAGCTCTTTCTCAACCACAGCCTTTTTCTATATCTCATTTCTTTCTGTCTTTCTTTCTTCATATCTCTCTTACTTTCTTCATTTCTCTCTTACTTTTTTTTTCTTTCTTTCTTTCTTACTTCATTTCTTTCTATCTTTCTTTCTATTTTTTATCATTCTTTCTTTCTTCCTTTCTTCATTTCTTTCTTTTTTTCATTCCGCATTTCTGTCATTCGTTCTTCGCTCCTTTCTTTCTGTCTTTCCACCTTTCTATCCTTCTTCCTCTTTCTCTCTGTTTCTTTCTTTCTATCTTTCTTCATTTTTTCTTTTTTCATTTCTCTCTTTCTTTTTATTTTCCTTTCTCTCTTTCTTTGTCTCTATACTTCATTTTTATCTTTTGTTCTTTCTTTTTTCTTTCTGTCTTTCTTTCTATAATTCTTCACTTCTTTATTTCTTTCTGTTATTCTCGCTTTCTTTCTATCTTACTTTCTCTGTATTTTTCTTTCTTTGATTCATTCTATCTTTCTTTCTATCTTTCTTCACTTCTTTCTTCCTTTCTTTCTGTCTTTCTCTGTTTCTTTCTATTATTTATCTGTTTCTTTCTTTCTTCTCTACCTTCATTAATTCTTTTATTCTCTCTTTCATAGCTTTTCACATTTTTACCATTTTTACTTTTATTATTAATTTTCTAATCTTTATTTTTTCTTCCATTTTTTTATTTTAAAACTTTTCTTTTCTTTACATTTTTTCCACTCGCACTTTCTTGCTTTGAAATCATATTCCTCTCTCTACACTTCCTTATTTTTTTCCTCTATCTCTCCTTTTCTCTCTCTTTTAAGTATTATTCCTTTCTCTATACTTTTCTTCTTTTTTTTCTATCTCTTTCTCTTTCATTTAAATCATATTCTTTTCTCTCCACTTTTTCCTTTTTCACTTTCTCTTTCATTTAAATCTTCTTCCTTTTATTACATTTTCTCTTTGTCCCTCTCTCTCTCTCTTTCTCTTTTTTAAACCTTATTCCTTTTGCTACACTTCCTTTCTCTTTTCCTCTTTCATTCTCATTCTCTTTCTTTTAAATTTTATTCCTCTCTCTACACTTTCCTTCTGTCTTCTTTTTATTCTCTTTCTCTTCTTTTTAATTCTTTTTCTTATCATTCCTTTTTTACCTGTTTCATTCTCTTTCTTTTATATATTATTCCTTTTTCTACAGTGTCCTACCCTTTTCCTCTCTCTCACTCTTTCTCTTTCATTTTAATCTTATTCTATTATTTACACTTTTTCTTTTTTGCTCACTCACTCTCTTTTTCTTTCTTTTAAATATTATTCCTTTCTCTACACTTTTTCTTTTTTTTTTCTGTTTCTCTTTCTTTCTTTTCCTATTCATTTAAAGTTCACTCTCAAAGTCTCTCCAGAATCAGAGACTGTATTTACAGATACTCTCCTGTAGGGTTATGCTGTTCTCATCCAGATAACATTTAATGAGTTTTCTTACAGTATTACTGCATTCAGTATGAACAAGCAAGCAGAGATTTCATGATATGTGTATGGATTTTTGGCAAAACATCACCTCATTGTAGTTGAGCAGTGTCACCTCCTTGTCAACCTAAAGCCCAGATCTCTGACACTGCAATGAAAAATAGTATGGATACTGTAATAATTTTATTAGATACTCTTTTTAGATAATTAATACTAAAATTTTTGTATCATCAATGTTAAATATTTTTAGATAAATAATATTAAATTGGATACTTTGTGGCCGTAATATTATGTTTTGTTTAGGCTACTTGCTGTAACATTAGAATTCTTTCCAACTGATTCCAATGGACTTCTCTGACTCACTTTGAGTTCTTTATTTAAAGTGTCTTGCCTAGTTCATCTGTGTTACTGGGGGAGGGTGTCTTATATACTCCACAACACACACACTTATTTACACGGTTTGAAGATCACTTGAGGTGTGAAAATGACAGCCTCCATGCAATATATATATATATATATATATATATATACCAAAGTATATAATTGGTATATACGGAATGAATTCCAATAACCAACAATTACTATTCTTAAAAGAGTGCTCAATACAATGCTCCCCCTAGTGTAGGATCGTTAATTAATCTGAAACTTTTTAAAACCATTTATTTTATTTTCAACATCATCACTTGAGAAGACACAGAATGTGTTGAAACAAAATGGCTATTTTTGTAGTGATCTTATAACATACTTATGTTATAATTTTTTATAAAAAATAATTATATATATATATATATATGTGTGTGTACCGGGTGTAAGATTGTCCAAATCGTGTAACAGCAAAATTGTCCAATTCTTAGAGTTTAAATATATAAATGTATATAAGCATTTAGATATATAAATTCTTATCACCAATCCAAGAAAGACATTTGAATCACTACCACAGAAAAGATTCATTTATATAATATGTGGAATTATCTACACTTTGCTTTAAGAAAGTCACAAAACCAGAGACTCACGTAGCAGAATTATGGAAAATAGAGTATAATATATATTTTAAAACAGAAAATCCACATTTCAACCATTTTCAGTTTATCTTGTTTTTAAAATATATATATATATATATATATATATAATGATGTATATTTGTGCAGCAACCTTTCTTTTAAACATGTTTTGTTGAATATAAGAGACAAAGAAAATTTAATTAATTTTTTATATATTTTTCCAGCATTGTTATACTTTCCCATTTGGTGGAAGTAAGCGAGTGCAAAAATTGTATATATTGTCCATTGTTGAATGCACTTTTGCCCACTTCTTTAACGATTTTCAAGGTTTTTTTTTATAGGGGTGTTGTTAATTTCTCATGTTTGACCAATAAGATGCATTTTGTGTTGTTTTGAATACCAGAAGGGGTGTGAATGGAATTCAAGTGGGTGTCTTTCTGTTATTCTGAAAAAACTTTCCACCACCCATTGCCACTTTTGAATAAGGTTAGGTTGATAATAAAAGTGAGATGTTTTATATACAGCTCTCACAGCAATATGCCTCTGGTAATTTGATTTATATAGAAAATTTTGTGTTTTCAACCATGAATTTCCTTGAGGGATTCTGTTAATTTGGAGTGGTTAGATGGTTTTTTTTTTTTTAATGTGCTTTGATCTGATAAGTGGTATGTGAGGCATCTATCCAAAGAGGTGGTAATATGTCTGATATAGGTAATTTATTTATAAGAAACACAGCCTGGGTAGTTAAATTGATACACTATCTTAGTCATTACTACTTTTGATTTCATATTTTATATATATTTTAAATATATATATATATATATATATATATATACATTATAAATTAATTGATTTAAAATATGTTTTTTTCCGCTACACAGTTCTAACCATGTTTCAAAAATAGAAGCTAAAAGCCCCGAATTTAATTTTTTGCAATTAAATTAAAAAGCATTAGTTCATGATATATATATATATATCATATTTTAAATATTTTATATTCATAATTTAAATATCATAATTCATATTTTAAATATCATATATTGATATTTTGATTATTGAGAGCAAAGTTTGCGGTTTTCAGTTTACTGTAATATATTATAAGTTTTACATGTTTTCTGGAATTTACAGCAGAAATATGGTGTTTCATGATTCTTTATAGAGAACCCACTTCACAAGGCACTATATCTTGCCAATTGCTGACTGCTGATTGACCCAGGTCTTGACCAGTTGTAAAGAGGCCCATATCTAGACATGCCAAGCTGCTGATTGGGAAAACCCGGATGTAACTGATGTTGATAGACTTGTTCACATATGATGTTGGGCCTCTTTTGCATCTGTACCAATGAACATATATATATATATATATATATATGCATATATGAAGAGTAATGTATTGCAAAACTGATTCTTTTAAGATTTTTTATACCATAATCATTGCTCTTCATTTTAGAAACAGATAAAATATAGAGTTTTTGTTTACCTAATATTTTATATACAAAAAAAAACATTAATTTTTTTTGTGCTTCTAAAATGCATAATGTAGATAATGCATATAGAGTGTGTCATAGTAGAGAAGCTTTTGTGCTACAAGGAACTTGAGCTCTGTCTTTTGATAAGATCACCTATGGCAGTAAGGATTCAGGAAAGGGACCAGAATAAGCACAATCCAACACCCAGCAGTCAAAATAACATTCTGTGTATGAGATGCAAGCCCAATACATGTTGTTATCCTGAAACTGTCTGTCAAGCCCTGGTTTACCACAGTGAATTGTAAGCTGAAGTGTGTGTGCCATGGAGTGGTAACCCATGGATCATCTCAAACAATTTCTTTCTCATGCCTAAAGAACCAATTGAAGAAGAGCAGTTCATGAAAAAGCAAAATCCTTTGAAAAACACTAGAAGACAAATAGAATAGATGAAGAATCTGACAACTTAATTGATTCAGTTATGAAATTTTGTGCGATAATATTAAGTAGCACTTAAGACCCGCTAGTGATTTACAAAGGAGGCTGCATATGGAGCAAGAGTAAGGATTATGAGATGAGATCACTGTTAGATTGGCTGATCTTTTAGATCTTACTCTTGCTTCTCTAAGATGATTCAGATAAGCTGATTGAAAACTGTTGAATCCACTAAAACACGTTGATCTTCATTCTACCCACTTCAAGGCTACGCACTTGAAGGTTTTTTGAGGCATACTGACAGCTGACATATATATATATATATATATATACATATATATATATAGTTTATGCAAACTTAGGTAATCCGTATGGGTAGACCCAAGGAGGATGATATCCAGAGAGCTCAATGTAAAATTCAGAGCAGATATGTTTGAATAAAAAACAGACATGGAATCTTAATGTGGTCTGTTTTTTATTCAAACAAAAATATATATATATATTGTTTTAGTTGTTACTTCTCTCTTTCTATCTCACTCATCATGTTTCTCCTGTTCTTTCAATCATTACTTCTCTTTCTCTTTCTCACTCACTCTCTTGAATTCACTCTTTTTCTCCTCTTCTTTCAGTCACTACTTTTCTCTTTCTATCTCACTCACTTTCTTGTCTTTGCTCTTTTACTCCTTGTCTATCAGTCTACTTTTCTCTATCTCACTCATTCTCTTGCATTCACTCTTTTCCTCCTTTCCTTTCAGTCTCTACCTCTCTCTTCTGTTTCACTCACTCTCTTGTATCCCCTTTTATTCTCTTCTTATTTCAGTCTCTAATTCTCTCTTTCTCTATCACTCACTCTATGCTTATTTTCATTCTTTTCTCTTTTGTCTCATTCCTCTTTATTCTCCTTCATTAGCTACTTTCCTTTTCTTTCACTTTCTTCTCTATTTCTTATTACTTCTAACAACTTTATATTTCCAGTGCATTCACAACAATATGGAGGCTAGGAAAGACTGTGAGTACAAGATTAGCAGACATCTGATTTAGCCCCCCCCCCCGCCCACAACTAAAAAAGGAAAGAAAAATATTTCATGAATAACTATTGGATTAAAGAAATATCTAGAAATAAACTAACAAAACCAAATAAAAAAAAACACCAAAAAATTTACAAAATTAAAAATCAAAACACAAAGGTTAAGTCATCGTTTCTTCCAAGATGGCGGACTTCCCTAGAGTGAGTGTAACTGAGGAGTTTGTAATGAGATATTCAATGAAAAGCAAAATTAAGTTACTTGTGCAAATGTGAATTGTACACACACAACAGGTTTCAGTTGGACTTAAAATTCCCCTTGGGGAGACAAGAACAAACACACTAAGCAATCAGTGTTATCTATTTCTAATTCAGCGGGAATAAACAAACAAATAGATAGACAAATATAAAGACAAATAAATAAAAAGTATTTCTCAGTGATTAGAGAAATAATCTAGCTGGCAAAACCCTCCTGCTTAGTCTGTATCTTTAGATAAACCAGATATGTATTTCTCCCAAGAGTAAGTTCCAATGTCATGTCAGAGTGGAAGAAAGTTTGTCCTGCGTTTGATTCCAGGAATTTTTTTTTTAACTTTTGGCAGCTTTCTTTTCTATTCTGACAATTTGGGCCTGATTCAGCCATCTTTTTTATTTATTATCATTATTCTTATTATTTTCAGACAATTTTACCTTTTCTCTCATTATTGTTGCTCTGCATCACAATGCACAGGTCACATTGAATCCTACAATTTATTATGGAAGCAGCATGACTCAGAAATAAAGAAGTAAAATCAAAGTAAGAAAGTTAGTTCACTGTCAAAGTCAAACTAAGAAAGTTAGTTCACTGTCAAAGTCAAAACAAGAAAGTCAGTTCACTGTGCCGTGACAGACAATTTTTCTCAACAGAATTTATCTTACACATTTAGAAATCTACCATTGACCCCTGCATTGAATGTTCTTACTACATCTGGTAGTCCTGGGTATGACAATAAATAACATCTGGAAGTCCTGGATTTGACAATAAATGACATCTGGAAGTCCTTGGTATGACAATAATGATATCTGGTAGTCCTGGGTATGACAATAAGTGACACTTGGAAGTCCTGCGTATGACAATAAATGATATCTGGTAGTCCTGGGTTTGATAATGAACGACATCTTGAAGTCTTGAGTATGACAATAAATTACATCTGGTAGTCCTGAGTATGGCAATAAATGACATCTGGTAGTCCTGGGTATGACAATAAACAGCATCTGGAAGCAAGGCATGTGAGCAAGAGATTGAGGGTTTTGAGAAATGTGAAACCAACTCTTAATTGCTGTTGTCCCCAGGTCTACCCCAACCTGGGGTGGTAGCACCTGTTAGGGTCCCAGCTATGGTCAAATACTGAATCCCTAATACATACTGATAGTAAAATTACCAACAATATATTTTAAAGCAAAATGACCATCAACACATTTTATCTGTAGTTGAAACCATAAAATTGTGTTCAAAATATTTAGATTAGAGTTTGTCACCCAATGCCATTAAACAAAACCAACCAAGCAACCAACACGAAAGAACTCTATCCTGAAATTAATCTATATAATATCCTAAAATTTCTTAAAGAAATCAAACTGTTTTGCAAATTATAACTTCAACAAAACTACAACATAAAAACACGTATCACAGCCTCTAGTAATATTTAGATTTTGGCATTAAATAACCTATAGAGGTGTTGGTATGTCACTAAACAAAACCAATCAATCAAACAACCAATATGAAAGAACTCTTTCCTGACAATAATCCATATAATATCCAATACTTTCTTAAAGAAATCAAACTGTATTCCAAAATATAACTTCAACAAAAGTACAGCATAAAACACAATCATTGCCTCTAATAATTATGTTCACATAAAAGTATATACACAAAAGCTAAGTATCATCTACCATTTATTCAATTGTGAAAGCAGAATAACATATTTTTGCTACTTCCAAGCTCCCAAGAAAATTAAATTTTGGCATTAAATGACCCATAAAGAGTTGATATGAAATTAAATAAACAATCAATCTTTTACTGTCGAAATGTAACTGTAAGTTTTATTTTATTTTTTTCAAACTGGAATCACTCCAAGCAAATCACACTAAGACACAAGGGGTTACAGGGTGCGAAAGAATTAAGAACAGAAGCCTTAATGATGAGCAGAAACAGAAGAGAGTAATCGGGTAGACAGTAGATAGCAATTGAGATTGCATTTAAATTTTTGCAGATTAATGTTGGCTGGAAAGCATGGAGCTGGAAGGGAATTCCACAAGTGAGAAGTGCGAGAAAAGAAACTGTTAGCATAGAATTTACAAGTACATCTAGTCAACTCAACAGTAAATGAATGAGATGATAATCTAGTGCTGCACTTAAATTCAAAAACTCTAGGTACCATAGTAAAGAGCTCATTCAAAGAATTACCATGAAAGTATTTATAGAAAAGACATAGGGATGCAACCTTATGATGGTGAGAAATTGACTGGAGTTGAGTTGTCAGATCAGGACCAATAATATTACAGATTCTTCTTTTGATCTTAACAAGGAGCTCAAGGTAAATAGCAGGAACACTGGACTATATGTGGCAGCAAAATTCCAAGCATGGTGAATGGTAGACTTATAGATATGCAAAATAGATTCTGGAGAGCAAAATTGTCTTGCCTGTCATAGTGAACCAACTTTCTATGCAGCTGATCTAGCAATGGATTCAATATAGTCTTTTCCCTTCATGTCAGCTGAGAACTTTACTCTAAGAAGGCACAATGAGTCACTTTTCTGGAGGAGAGCATTAGCCATGCTAATGGAAGGCAGTAAGGAGTCTCTCAGATGATTAATAGAGAGAAGTTTAATCTTGGAGGCATTAAAATTAACAGGCCATTTTGCCTCAGTTAACTATGGATTTCAGGTGGTTTTGGATGTCAGCTGCCATTTTGACCTTTTCAGACTGATAAGCCTTTCTATCGAGGCAGGACATACCAAATTGTGAGCTGATTTCATCAGGAAGATCATTAATGAAAATTAAAAATGTCTGCTAACAAAGTCAATTTTTTTGCACTGCTCCCTGTAAAACTCTCTTTCGGTTTCTTGCTTTCAATTTTCATAATTTAAACACAGTGTCTATGTCTCTTTGAATCATTTTCTTTTATTGTTCTTCCTCCTCAGTACTGTTTTCTTAGTTTCCTTCACACTCAATAACCTCTTGCATCTTAGTGGCTTTATTGCTCTGCTTGAAAAATCTCACATGATGTATCTTTGGATAAAAAGTACTTTAGTTACAGTTTCTGGGAGAGAGCGTGTTATCTAGCATGATCAACAATTTGAACAAATTGCCAGCACACTCAAAGCCTTAACCATGATGATTATCAGCTTTGTGCTAGTACAGCTATCGACAACCGTCAAGAGTTCTGTCTACCCACTTTCACTCACAAGGCTTGGCTCAATCTGTGGTATGGTTTTCATGCACTTTCTAAAGGTGTTGCATGCTGGAATCAACCTCAATCCAGCCTGATAACAGCAGGAAATCTCCTTCTTGACAAATCGACCATTTCAACCTAGTTCTCATAGTCAGAAAGCAAATGTTGTAACCACTGGTTATAC